ACTTAGTTTTTTTTTTTTTTTTTTGAGTAAAATAGTAAATAGTTATAATATTATTAATTTTACAAAATTATAAAAATTAAAAGATATTTTTTAATTATTACAATAATGATAGATTTTAGAAAAAATGTATCAGAATCATTTTTGTTTGAATTTTAATACTAAATAGTTTGTATTCTATACATTTTTACGCTAACTATAATGTTTATTGAAATAAATATGAAAATCTAAAAAACAACCCTATTTGGTTAAACTTAAACCCCAATGTGGCAAGGGAAGGGGTTTTTTGATCGAGTCCAAATTTTCTATATCAAGTAAAAAATAGGGGAGTGATATCTAAAATCAAATATCAAATATCTAAAAAAAAATCTTCTATGCGTTTGAACCCCTCTAATATATATATATATGAAATCATTACATGTTTTAACCATACAGATTTTGATAAGTAATAATTCTAGAACTTCATCTGTAATTATTTCACTTAAAAGTGACTGATTTCCATATGGTTAAAACGACCACATAGAATTATTTTGTATACATATATTCTCTTTAATAACCTTAGGTAATCAGAAAGATTGTAAGATAATATTTAGAAAATATTAAAGTCATACTAAATTTTACAAATATTTTTTAAACATATTAATAATTTAAATTTTATAAAATAAAATAAATTACAAATTTTAAAAGATTTAGGTACAATCATAGATAATATAGATAATATTTATATTTTAGTATTATATTATTGTTATAATTGAACGCAATATAAAAGTATAATCTTTGTATTAGACCAGTGGTCGGCAACCTTTTTTAATTCTCGGGCCACATTTACAAATTAAAAAGAGTTCGCGGGCCAGATAAAAAAAAAAAATTTATAATTACATTATTTATTATGCAAAAAAATACTATCTAAAACTTAAAATAATAATATGACTTATATAAAATACCCGTACCAAAAACGCAACGTTCAATTATATTTATACAAAATGATATTCAATTAAATTAGTCGATTTAGAATTTAAAGCGGGCCGTATTCAATAGCCACGCGGGCCGGATATGGCCCGCGGGCCGCCGGTTGCCGACCACTGTATTAGACTATTTTAACATTATTAATATTAATATTAACATTGAGTAACTTTAAGATAAGTCTTAAAATTTTCTATTATTCTTTGAAAAACTCAATCAATTAATTAAATTGTAATGGTGTTACACATTTAGTTAAATTGTAATTAGTGCAAAAACTAGAATTAAATAATAATTTATTCATACTTAAAAACTTAGTAAATATTATGTCAATTATTTATTAAATGGACAATTATATGTAACAGAATAATACACAAAAAGATTCTGATTATTGTTATCTTATAAGTAATCAAGTGATTCCCCTGATTCATAGATTACTTTGTATTGCTTGAATTAAAAGTTAATTAGGATTCTCAAATCTAATTTAATGTGTTTTCTCATATGATATAAAATACTGTAAGTGCTTCTGTCCAAAATTATTTTTTAAGTACAAATTTAAATCATTAATTATTTTATATTTTTTAGTGAATCTACTAACTGGGTTATGGAATGCAATTGGAATAATATTTTTAAATACAAATTGCCTATTCGGTGGAATATTGCAACTGTATGTTAATTAAGTATCACTTTACTGTAGATTTAATACCTAAATTTTAATTAATTTAATTCAATTATTTTAGAGTGTTGGGATTTTTAATGATTGCTTTAGAAGCACCATGCCTTTGTGTATTTGTTGATTACATGCAACAAGTTAGTGAAGTAGCAGAACAAAAACCATATTGGACTAAAGCTATTTTCTATGTTGTGTAAGATTCTACAATATTAAATATTTGGTCATTATTATAAAAGAAATCAAAGATTCAATAAATTTATTGAATATTAACAATTTAATTCAATGATAAATTGAAAATTAGATTTGTTGTTAATACAAAAAAAACATAATAATAATCACGTTCATTAAAAGATCAGTTAATAAAAATATGAACAATAATATAATTCTGTTGATTCCAAATTTCTTTTATTAATGTTAAGATTTAATTAGTAATTAAATTATATTATGAATTTTGTATTATGTCATTTATTACTAATCATTGTAATAATATAATTAATTCTTAGATTTAACACCCAATTCTTATAATATTAAATATTACAAGAATTGAAGGCCAAATTTTGGTCCTCTCAACATTTCAAACTTTTTTAATATGCTTTTATTAGTTTCACCTGTATGTATGTTTGTAACTCTCCATGCGAACGTGTTATTATTCTCGCGTATCCCGCCGTCTATGGCCTTGAGACTAAAGTATCGTAACACATTCACTCCACCACGCTCACGACAACAACACTATTCCTGTATAATTTTATTTTTGGTTTTCATACCTGTACATACGTGCGTATCATCAATATTATATATATATATTTTTATTGTTTATTATTAGGTATAAACATTTAAATATTCAAATTTTTTTGAGTTAATATACTTGTATAATACATAAGGGATTACAAATACAGGTAGCAAATTGGTTTATTATGACAATATTTGCTGGTATATAGCCTTTATTATCAATGGTAATAAGACACATTGTTGTGAGTTTATAAATACACTAATTGGCAATACAGAAATTATATCTATTGATATTCATAATTGACGATAAACACTCTGTGACTGTGACAGCGATGTCATAAAAACTAATAAGTGAATAATTTTTAACTTTTTAGTTTGATGTACTTTAAAAGCATGTTTTTTTAGTTTATTTAAACTTTATTTATTTTACATTTTATAGCCTTTTAGGGACCATTGATAACTTGCATAAAGGAGGTTTTTTTAACTGTTTATACTTCAGGATTAATCGGGCACCAGATGAGTGGTTAGTGACTCTTATTACTGTACTAATCTCTTGTTTATCAAACAAAGAAGCCATCCATGGCTGAATGAAAATTAATGAGGCTATGTGCATTGATCATTGTTACATAACTGACTTGGCTACACTGTTCCTCTAATGCTATTCTAGATTTGGGAAAAATGCAATTAGCACCCACAAAAATTGTATTCTAGTTGTGCTTATGGTTGTAGCATAGTTGTTTAATTTATTTTTCTTAGAAAATTTAAGTTTTATAATTCAAGACTTATTATTTACACTTGCAACTCAAGTGCTTATCAAAATAAATTTTTGTATGTATTTTAGAAGAAGAATTTTCCAACATTGTATTCATACTTATAATATAGGCAATGATTTAATTAGGGAAATGATAGGTTAATAACAACTTTTGAACCATAATTTTTAGAAATTATAAATGTTTTTAAGTCTAAGTGGAATGAAAAGTGAGGTTATATCACTTAATGATGATATCACCTAGTTAAATATTACATTTTGCCGGTATACAGAATTTTAATAATTAATTTTGTAGTGATCCCAAAAAATTTAATTATTCTTATTTTTAAAAATTTTAATTACCTCCTTATATTAAATTCTTTGTAATTATTTATGTTTTAGAAGTTAAAAAATTAAATGTTATATCTAAATATAGGTTTTTTATATATAGACCCAATTTCAACAAATTGTTATTAATATCAAACTTCTCCCCCCTAAAATTTCTTTTTTAAAAATTATAGATATAAATTTTCAGAAAATGTTTCAGTGGGGTTAGTTTCAGAAAAAACTAACCCCACTGAATTTATGCCTATGGTTTTATTGCTTCTACAGATTACTTGGGAGTTGTCGATAACAACTTTTGTCCCGTTATTAACATTTTAAAATATAGACTGGATACGAGGTACTGGTATGATTATTTATATTAATAGGTATTTCTTGGCTGCACTTCTCTTCCTATCTAAGAGTAAAAATTTGAATAATTTCTGAAGTACTGGTCAAAAAGAGGTTATCGATCAGTAATTTTTTTAATTGAATTATTTAGTATTTTATAAGCTAGTTAAATATGTGTGTTGCCATTTAAAAAATAAAAGTTGACATCCTTATTAGTTATAAGGAATTATAAAATTGATTAATAACTGAAAAATGTATGTATCAAGAAATATATGCCATTAAAAAAATCCAAAAAAAATTATTATTGAGATTATTTTTATTTTGTAAGTCATTGAATGGGTTATATGATATATGAATTATTCTGTATACTTTGTTAGATTTGAGTCACTTTGCATTTATAATTTTGGATTTATTATCTTACTATTATATATAAACTAATTGTTTTAGAGCATCCATAGTTCCATTGTTAATATGTTTTGGGCCTAGTACATTCATAGCCAGTGCATTAGTATTTGGCACAGGTTTGCTGTATGGTTTGATGTCAATTGGAAAAAAGTAAGAGTTTTGAAAGTATATCTATAATTATTTATCTATTTATTTTATCGAGATATCAATCTCTGATTTATAAATCAGATTAACAAATATATATTTCCTTAGTATCTAATTTCGATTGAGATGTTTGTTTTATTGTATATAAATAGATATTTTAGATGAGAAATAAGTGATTTTTCTTTCTCTCTTGATAATGGCACTCGACTTATTTTGTGTTAAAAATCATTTATTTCAGATCAATATGTAAAGTATCCTATGTGAAACAAAATAAAATAATTTAGAGTTATTTTATTTTTTATTTATGGTAGTTGGTTTATCTCAGAGGTAGATAAGTAATATTTTAACCTACCAGGAAATATAATATAAAGCTTTAACTTGAAAGAGTTTCAGGGTAAAAAGAAATGGTTTTTATTTTTCCCCGAGGTTTATATTTATTATACATATTTTATATGTAACTAACATGCTTTATTTTTGTCTATTGAATGAGAAAAGATTGAGGCACCACTTTAAAAATAAATTGCACATGGTCAAGAGACCCATTGAAGGAATCCCAGTTTTCAAGGAGATATATCTATCCTTGTTTTATCTGCACAAATCATTATTAATTATACATATTAATTAAGAGGTTTCTATTTTATTAAAAATATGACTATAATATATTACAAAAAAAAAAAATTTAGTTTGTCGTTTAATTTATTCCATTCATATTTTAAACTGATTTACAAAATTAAGAATTTGATTTGATAATTTTCACTTTTCGAATCTTATCAACTATGAGTACTTAGTTTAATTTGAACACCTAATAGTTCATAACATTATTACAATATTGATATGTTAAAATAAAAAATCAGTAGATAAATCAGTAAAAGGATGTAAACTTAGCCTGAGCTGAATGATTTGTCACTGTGACATATCTAATAATCCAATATCACTAACATTGATTTTATCAAGCATTTATGGTAATACTTGAGTATTTTGTAAAGTATTATGGTATATTTTTTGTTCTACAACTTATTTCAAATAGTTGATAATTCACAAACATGGGTTACTAAAATTCCTTGTGGTTTGTTTTAAACAGGATGTTTTCTGTAATGTACCAAAAAATTATAAATCAACCTTATAGAAGATGAGGAGGTCAGTGACAATAGGTGAGGACGTGATTGGAGAGGTGGAGAGTTTTAAGTATTTAGGGTCAGTTGTGCAAAAGAGCGGTGGTATTGACCTGGATGTAAGACCCAGGATTAAGTGGGGGTGGTTGAAATGGAGAGAAGCGTCTAGCGTCTTATGCGATAAAAGAATTCCAATGAGACTGAAAGGTAAATTTTACAAGACTGTAAAAGGCCAGCTATGATGTATGGTTCAGAGTGTTAGGTGGTTGATAAGAAAGTAGAGCAGAGAATGAGTGTAGCAGAGAATGAATGTAGCAGAGATGAGAATGCTTAGATAGATGAATAGAATGACTAAAAAAGATAGAATGAGGAACGAGCATATAAGAGGGAGTATAGGTGTAGCGTCAATCGTGGATAAGATGAGAGAAAATAGACTTAGATGGTTTAGTTATGTTATGAGGAGAGAAGAATTGGAAGCTGTAAGAACAGTTATAGAAATGAATGTTGAAGGAAAAAGAGGTAGAGGAAGACCAAAAAAGAGATGGAGGGATGCTATTGAATGCGATATAAGGACAGTTAATGTGAGCGTAGATGATGTGGGAGATCGTGTTAAGTGGAAGTTTGGGATAAGGGTGGCCGACCCCAAGTAGATGGGATTAAGACGAGGAAAAAGAAGAGTAGGAGAAGAACCTTATAGAAGATATGGTATGAAAACTTCAAAAATGTCCACTTTAAAATTTGAATTCCAATAGATATCATTGAAATGCATTTTTATTCTTCTAATAAATTGATTAATTGCCATATTAGCTTTTAAAAAATAGCCTCAGAATTATTATTAATGAGTTAAAATATTGGATTATAAATAAAAAATGTTAACAATAAAATCTATATGACTATATAAACTAACATAAAATTTCAGCATATCTCTAAAAATTGTATTTAATTTTCATGTTTAAACACTGCTTAGAAATTTATGAGCTAAAGAATCTTAAAAATACTATAAACATTTTATTTTTTATATAATATTTTATTTAATGTATATTTTTCGTTTAAGTAAATAAAGAGAGAGTGTAAGTTTTCTTTAATTTATGTTTTAAAAATGTGTATGCCTTAGTTCAAATATTGCAAATTCATTGGAAATATTTTTATGAAACACCATAAATGTTTTTTTTTATTATCAAATTTAATATGTTAAGACTTTTGCATTTCCCTACCATCTGGAAACAATCCATTATTATTTTTATTCTCAAACCGGGCTAACTCACCATTATAGCAACCTCATATAGACCAATTAATCTGCTTCCAGTGCTTAGTAAGCTATTCGAGAAAATCATTTTGAAAAGATTAAGACCAATCTTAGAATCACCTAAAGTAATACCCAATGCTCAATTCGGGTTACGTTCAAATTATTCCACTATACAACAAATACACAGGCTAGTCATATTGACTAGCCTGTGTATTATGAGATTATATTAATCTCATCATCCTTTGAAAATAAAAAATATTGTCTGGGGGTCTTTCTTGATGTGGCTTAGGCCTTTGATAGGTTTTGGCATCCTGGCTTACTCTATAAAATTAAATCATTCCTTCCTGCTCCCCTATACTTACTTATTCGTTCATACCTAGAAAACAGAACCTTTAAAGTTCGTTACAGTAATTCTTATTCCTCTCTTTTTTCCATCCTGGCAGGAGTAGTGGTACATTCGCTAGGTAGTGACCTTTCCCCCAATTTATATAATATTTTCACTTCAGACATCCCCCAAACTCAAAACACCTCCTTGGCTACCTACGCTGATGATACAGCCATTTTATCATCCAATAAAGACCCAATCGTAGCTTATAATGCTCTTCAACTCCACCTTGACTATATTGATAAGTGGTCCACAAATTGAAAAATTAAAATTAATGCAGATAAATCAGTAAATGTTCCTTTCACTCTTAATCAAAAAAATATGCCTATCCTCTCCTTCTAAGGAGTTCCTATCCCCTCCTTGACTCAAGTCAAATATCTTGGGATTACCCTTGATAAAAGATTAACCTGGGGTCCTCATCTCAAATCCAAAAGAAAGCTATTAAACATTATATCCTACTTACTGTGTCCTGTACTAAAATCCAAACGTCCTATACATAACAATATAATCATTTATAAGTCAATGTTAATACCAATTTGGTTTTACGGAGTCCAAATATGGGGTTGTGCCAAAACATCACAGCTTAAAATAATTGAAGCCTTCCAAGCAAGTTTCCTTCATACAATCACGTCCGCTACTTAGTATGTCTCCAATCTTACCTTACATTAAGATTTAAACATTGAACCAGCTGATATTTTAGTTAAGCCATACTACAAAAAGTTTCACTCTAAATTACTTCTACATCCAAATCCATTAATTGCTAACCAACATACAGTTACAATCCCTGATAACCCTCGCCGTCTAAAAAGAAGCTGGTGCCGTGACCTTTTAAATTAATATTGTGATGGCTAAATAACCAAATGAAGTCAAAAGGTTCCCATCACTGGATAGCTTCCCTTTTTCCTGTTTTCAAGCCAAATGATTTATTCTTATGAATATTTTATTGTTCACCTATTTGCTTATTGTATCTTTTCTTATGAACAGATTGTAAATGTTATTATTGTATAAATTAAATAAAAAAAATTTTTTTATATATTTCTACTGTTAAATATTGAAATAATATTATTTTATTTAATTCAAATAGTATTATTTTATTATTTACCTATATATTTTTTTACTTTGCTTAAATTTATAAAACTTGGTAGTAAGTTTGATCTTTGTATAAAAAAATTATGCATTACAATAAATTCACATTTAAAATTTTGTATTTACTTAGTTAAATTAATCAATAATGTTAAACTTTCGCCATCTGTTTTAAAATTGTTATTTGTAATGTAAGCACAAGTTTTTGTTTTATATGTCTGTGTTATATAATTTATTTAATGAAATTATATTATTTTTTATAGAGCTCCAGCTGATCAAATGAAATCTACTGCAGCTACACTAGAACCTTAAAATGTTGATATACTAGATTACTACTCTTATATAGTCTTAAGTACAAAACTTCGTCAATGTAATTTAATGGTTTGGTTCCTGAAGACAAGTTGGTTATTATTGTAAAAAAAATACATTCCAGTTTATTTAGGTATTCAATAAAATATCAAATTTCATTAAGAGATTATTTTTAAATATTCTTCATTAGTAACACTTTCATAACAATCTGGCAGATTCTACTTATTTCAAAACATGAAAGTTGTATCTCAGTATAAAAGCCCTTCAATACATGTGTAACTTTAAAATTTCCTTCATGTTAATGTAAAATTTACAATAACAATATTTAAATTGTAATATAATATAAACATATGAGCTGTTTCATGAGCCATACATTTTTAAACTCTTAGATATTAATTTCTAAGCTAATATTACAGAGAGATTATATTGAAATTGAATAATAAGTTTTTATACATTTAAGTGATTACTTCTTTTTTTTCTAATAACTTACATTGGCAGGTTTGTACATATCAAGTCAAGTACTTCTCAATAAAAATGTATTTTACTGATAAGTGTTTTAATAAATAAATTTTTGAAGAACTGAAAATATCTAATTATAATTTAAAACTAATTTTATCATTTCTATATTAATAATTTATAATTTTATTATAGGTTAATTTATATTATTAATTAAGATATTTATATAAATTTTTAATTTAAAAAATCACATAACATTTCACACATTTTATTACATTAAATTTATATTAAATTAAATTGTTAATGGGCGTTTATTAATAAAATTTATCAATATTATTTCTCTCAGTTTTAAAGATAATAAAAAACTAAACTATATTTTTTACTAATAGTTTTGAAGCATATAATGTCTGATGATACATATTTAATTTTATATTACAATAATAATTATACTTTAAATATAACCAATAATATTCCATTGTATAATAAGACATTTAACATAATAATCAACATAGTAATGAATAAAGTAGAATTAAAATATATCTATATTTTACAATAATATATAATATAAACTATTAAATTTAACTGAGTCTCATTGTATTTTAAAATTTTTATTAACTTTGTTTAAATTATTGATGTAATATTAGTCTTAAAATTAATTTGACATAGATTTTATTGATCCCGAGTTATAAATTATCGTAATAATTAACTTAATAAGTATTGCATGAAACAATTATTGAAGTTATGAGTATTTAGAAAAAATCCATATAATTTACTTCAGTAGAATTATAACCTTTTTTTAACACTAGCTAATTTTTTATATTTTTATTGTGAATAATATTTTAGATTTCCTCTAAATGAAGTTATAAAAAATTTTTGTATAATTTCTTAGAATAAGGAAACAATTGTATTAATTCGCTAAATATTATTAATAAAATCGGTAATACATTTGTAGTATTAATAAAATATGCTGTATTATTAATTTATCAAATAAAGAAATTTGAATTGTTTGTGATTAGAAGGTTGAATGTGGAGAGGCTAAATCCCAATGGCGTATTTAGAGAGATCCATGGTGTCACATATCCCTCCTGTTGATTATACAATGCTCATATAAAAAAGTTTATTGACCTTCTATTTTGCTCATATTTATCTGAAATGCGTTAAAAACTGTCTATGGTAGCTTGCCTACTGAAAAATTTTATTTGTACCCTCTCATTATGAATTTAAAAATAGACCCATGCTAAAATCATTTATAATTTATTCCCAAGCTTGATTTTTTTTTTAGATATTTCTCAATCTTGTTCCTCCTTTTGTTTAGATATAAAAATATCTTCAAAAAGCAATGAGTTATTCACCAGTTATTTTCTGATATGCAAGTTGTTTTTAATATTATTTTTAGCTTTAAAATGTAATTATGGTATTTTAAATGTATGAATGAACTTTTTATTTTCAAGACGAACTTTGAGTATTACCTTTGATGAGAAACTGAGAAGGTATTAATTTTACTATAATATGCACTTTTTCTCAGCTCTCACTGATCCGATAGCTTTCAACAATACGTTAAAAGATCACAAATCGTATCTAGCCGTAAATGGGGATATTTATTTATCATTTGGTATATTTTAGCTTCGATGCGAAGCGGAGAAGGTATTAATTTTACTATGATGTGTTTTTTTTTTTTTTTTTT